AAGAACACATGGTACTGATATTGAAACATACAAAGTAGAATAAATTGTATTGTAAAATATGAGCAATGATCTCATTCTCTTAATGAATATTGATGGAAATTTTATCTTATGGTGTGTATCGAACCTTCAGGAGTGTTACCTTTGGCTGTCTGACACCACTGTTGGCAGGCATGAACTAGCACAGAAGTATTTTGAGCTGCACTATCTTAATGTCATTTTGTTCACTTTACATTTGGGTTACATTTAATTGTAGATTTTAAATCTTTGGATTGGATATTAATCATAGCTAGAACATTAGAAAGACAGTGTCCCACAAATAATGCATTAAATATGTTGCTGGTTTACATATTTAATGCATAGTTTGTGGGGAGACCTGTGAGCGAAAGAGAGAGAGAAGGGCTGACACTGTACAATAGTGACAGTATAACTCTGAGAAGAATGTTTAGGTTTATACCATACCCTGTATTCTCCATGATGACCTGATAGTCATATACGTTTCATATCCACACTGAGGCTGTATCCAATTAGTGCAGTACTATCTGCTATAGTATGTTTTGGTAGTAAGAGTAGGTAAAAGTAATTACAATTTTATATTGAGTAAAAAAAAGGTTATTGTGATGTGCAGATACATAGGGCGAAAGGTAGGTAATAGCATTTTAAAAAATCAATTATTGTTTTTATATCCAGAAATATACATAAGCAAGGAGGCAATGATGAATTTATACAAAATATTGGTAAGTTTACACTTTGAGTATTATGAGCAGTTTTACAGGAAGGATGTAAAACCAATTAAAAAAGCGTAGGCTCTCATGGATTCTACTGAGGATGAGGGGGAAGTCAGAAAAGTTATTTACACAGACTGTGATGAGAATGTGGAATTTTCTGCTACAAAACCCTAGATAACGCAAGCCATAGATTCTTCCAATAGGGAATTTGATAGGTCTTTGAAGAGGAAGAGAATGAAAGGGTATGGGAAGCAAACAGGAGAATGGGATTAGTTGGCTCATCACGTGGAATAACACACTAATGCAAACTTGATGGGTAAATGGCCGCTTTCTGTTCTATAACACATAGAATTATAATTCTGTGTTTGGTGGTTTCCACACCAACCTGCCTATCAGGAACTGAGTTCTCCTAACTCCCAGCTGAACGAGCAATAATTTGAAGCATGGGTGTAACAACACTCAGCCATGTTCTCTCACCTCAGGGCTCCACTCTACATATGTTTTACCCTATCTCTTCTGCATCCCTCTCCTCCCTCATCTCCTGCATGAAACCCACCACCTGCTCCCCTGATCCCAACCCGATCTATCTCTCTACCATTTACCTCTTCTCCCCCCTACCTTTGCTACCTCCTAACCCTCTACCATCCTGCCTGCTCCCTCCGCTCAGCAGCAGGCTCTCACCTGCTTCACATCCCCCAACCCGCGTGCCCTACCATTGGCGGGCGGGCCTTCTGCCACTCTGATCCCACCCTCTGGAACTCCATCCCGTAGTCCTTCCGCCTCGCCCATGCCTTGCCTCCTTCAAGACCCATCTCAAGACCCTTCTCTTCAACAGTGCTTTCGATCACCCTGCTTCCCCACCTGCTCTCCAATCCCGACCCCCAGCTCGGGTCCAAAACACTGACTGTCCAGCACCTTGGGACATCCTCCAGACGTGAAAGGCGCTACACAAATGTGATTTTGTTGTTGTTGTTGTTCTTGTCAATCCAGTTCACAATGCTCAGACTGCTTTGGTCAAAGTCACAAACAACATTCTGTCGATTTGTGACTTGTTCTCACTCTGCCTTCTCATTCTCCTTGGTCACTCTGCCATCTTTAACACTATTGACTACTCCTTTGTTTTCCACCACCTCTCCTATCCTCTGCTCCACCTTCATGGTATTGTCCTATCCTGGCTTTACTCCCACCTATTCCAGTGTTTTCACTTTGTTGCATCAAATGGCTTCTCTTCCCGCCCCACAGTTACATGTGGTGTTGCTCAGGGCACTCACTGTCAACTTCACAATCAATCCACTCTGACATCATCTGCAAATATAGGGTTCACTTCCAGATATGGGGTTTTCAGAGTCTGTACCTCTTCTCATTCAAGGCCCATCTCAAAACATACCTGTTTGACTGTATTTCAGTCATCTTTCCCCTCTCCACCCTCTTCGATTCCTACCACCAGCTCGGGTTACCAGGCAGTAGTGTCGAGCAGTTTGAGACATCCTACTGATGTGAAAGGCACTATATAAATGTAAATTGCTATTCTTGGCTATCACAAATGCAATATTAGTTTGTAACTCCTGAAGAAAACCAAAAAAACTTTAGATCTGCTGAGAGAAACCAGCCCCTCAATGACACAAGATGCTGTAAACTTTCACAGATCTCAGCATCAATTAATTATTTGCATATCTTTATTATAATAATAATCCTTGCATTTGATATGGTGCTTCTGACTTCGACATCTCAAAGCACTTCACAGGTAATTGCTGTAAAGTGTATTTGTAGCTGAATGTGTTAGGCAATTTGCATACCGCAGTGTCCCACAAACAACCATGAAGTAAACGACCAATATTTTTGCAGGAATCTTAGCCAGGACACTGGAAGAAACCTTTTTCTCTTTTCGAGTAGTACCATGGGATCTTTAGTGACCATCTGACAAAAGCAGACTGGTCTAAACCTTTCCAGTTGGCCAACAAACTAATCATAGAAATAACAAAATAGCATAGATTTACACCATAAATCAAGAAATAATCAATCCAGAAACATTTATTTTGTTGGGCAACCAAAGAGGTTGGGCACCACTGGTCTAAAATCTCATCTGAAGGATGGCACCTCCAATAATATAGTGCTTCCCCAAGGCGGCACTTTATGCTGAACGGGAAAACAAAATCCATATCTGGATTCTAAGATTTAGAGTACAACAAAATTGGTTTACTTTTAAAATGAAGGAATGAATAATCTAATTCATATCCCTTGTGTGTGTTTATTAGTCTTTTAATTGAAAAACATTCTCAAACCTTTATGCAGTATTCTCATGATATACACATAATTTACATTTATACAGCACTTTTCACATCGGTAGGATGTTTCAAAGTGCTTAACACTGCTTGCTGGACATCTGAGCTGGGAGTGGAAGCCAAATGGGGTGGGAATGGGACAGAATGGCTGAAAGCCTGCCCCCAATGATGAGGCACATAGAGCGGGAGACATGAAACAGGCAAGTGTTCACTAAGCGAAGGGAGAGGCTGGGTTGGTAACATTGAAGGAGGTCCCAGAGTGGGTTGGAGCAAGACCATGGAGAGATTGAAGGTGACGAACATGATTTTTAATTCAATCCACTGGAGGATGGGGAACCAATCAAGCCAGACAAGGATTAAGGGCGTTAGGCTTGTGGGGCCTTGGTGGGGTAAAGGACATAAGCTTCAGAGTTCTGGATAGTTTGTATCCTGTGAGGGAAGAGCTGGGATGTTTGGCAAGCAGGGCATTAGCATAGTTAAGCCTTGATGTGTGGATGAGGACCTTGGCAGCCAGGGGGAAGAGGTATTAGTGAAGGCGAGCAATATTCCGGAGGTTAGCAGGTGAGAGCAGAGAAGTGGGGTCTGGAGAAAAGTTGTTAATTTTCAATAGCTTCGCTGAATGTTTTGTGTGCTCCCTAGTTCTAGTTAGTGTTGTAAGTGAATGAGGGAATGTTCTACTGCATATCATGTCAATGCTTGGAGGAAACCAATTGCTTGCTTGGCATTTTCATGCAATGATTTTTGTTAAAGCAGTGGATCTTGGGCATTTCAAATAATTGTATTAAATATATATAAACCTCTCTTCTCGATAACAAATTTATTAGTACACCACTACAATGAACAGTGGAACAAAATGAATCCTCATTTCTTTCAACTAGTATTTAAGGGAAAGTAAATGTGTAATCTGGACTGTGAATTGTCCTAATTTGCAAAAACACGCTGTTTGATTGAGCCTCCCCCTGAATCCCAAAGCTTTCTGGATTTTTACATAAAGGTGTGCTTTAATTGAATGCCAAATGCTATTGAAGGCTTTCTACAGTTTGATTTTTTTCTCTCACCCTAATAAATCAAAAAATGGTTACCTTTAACAAATCAGAACTTCCCAAAAGAGCAGACTGATTCCACGCTATAACATTCTGTGCAATGCTGGTAAATAATTTGAAGTATTGAAATAGTATATATACTGTAATGAGTAAGAATTTAACTTAATTCGGTCAGGCCCTATTTTAATGCACTGACTTGGGTCCATAAAGTCAGATCCTGTATTATAATGAGCCATGTTATAAAAAATGGTTAGAGACTAACGTTGACATATTTAGACCACACTGGGGTCAGCAGCGGCAACTCTCACAAGTGTTGTCAGGTTTTGTTGGAATGCCTCAGACTGGGCAGACCTTCTGGGCCTACTATTTGTGCAGGAAGTTGATTGTCTGCATTATGTTTTACCTATCTATGGTGCACCGAAGCACAGTATAACAGGACCTTGCTGTATTTTGATTTCAACAGGAAAATACTATGATGTTGCAATTAAGCTGAAGCCTGGAAAAAATGAAGATATAGCACTATTGTGAAATAACTATACTGAACTTCCCATGTTGTTTAGGATATTAAGTTTGGGTCATGAATATTTTAACAGATAACAATTAAGTTTTGCGTGAGCTTTTACTGCCTGGACAGCCAGATGGAATAACCTCAGAGTGGGTTTCATGTTAACCAGATAAATTGATTTTTGTTGTCTTTAATGGGTCTGAAAAGGAATTGATTGTACTCCAAGAACCTTATATCATGCTTGTGCAAGGTGTGTCATGCCAAATGTAATCTTTCTGCAGTACTCGACTTCAGTTACAGAGGACTTGCCAAAAAGTCTGCTTAGAAACCAAGCATTCTATATGAAAGCAAGAGGTTAATCTGCACCATTTCTTGATTAACCAATTATGTTGTCTGTTCTGTATAATCTGCTCCTATTGAATTCAATTACTGATTGTTGTTGCAGGAATCGTACACTTACAAGGACCCCATCACTGAGTTTGTGGAATGCCTGTATGTGAACTTTGATTTTGATGGTGCTCAGAAGAAACTGAGGGAATGTGAATCGGTGAGTTCTTTTCAACAATATATCTTATTGTCCTTGACCACTGTTACGTTCCTTGTACAGTCAAACCTGTTCAAGCAACCACCTCCATTCAGCAACCACCCTCAAAAAGCCCGGTTCGCACACCAATGAACCTTTACTCAGAGGCCACCTTTATACAAAGGCCCAGTCCCCTGAGCGGTTGTTAAAGATAGGTTTGACTATACAGTATATTATAAACACTGATTTGAAAATGTTCGGTTCTGTAGTAATGTAGAAAATTCACCAGTTCAAATGACCGCTTACAAGATGCATTATTGAACTGGTATTTTGGAATTGCCCAAATGCATAGTTGTGCACTTCTATGTGCAATTTCAAGTGCACCTCACAGACTTCTGTCTTCGTCTGCTCACTTCTGACTGACTTCCTCAACCTCCCCAGCTGCTCTCTCAAACTCACTGAACCCATGGACAACCTTTGCATTTGGTTCGAACTTCATCTCTTCTCCCTTGCATCTGGTCTCTGAGAAAGACCGATTTTCTTGCCCCTGCCACTAACCTGATATTCATACCCAAAATCCCATACCTTTGGAATTGCAAATTTAAGGTTCTAAGCTCCAACTAGGAAGGCTCATTGTTCCATTCCTTTCCATGCTTGACAGAAGCATCTTTATATCAAAAGTTTGACACCTTGGCTATTCTAGAGCACTGTAAGTTGGCAACATCACCCACTGATAAAAGATCCATTGTCTGCTACTGTTATATGTACTTCAAGATACACAATTGCATTAGTAGAGCTCTGATCACGATAACTGAATATTAGTGACATTTGCAATGGCTAAAGACCTTGCTCTATTTGTTCTACACAAACCTAGATATACCCTGTGATCTTTTGGGTGTTTGAAAATGAACATTTTAAAGTTATTGTACAGCACACATACATATACAGTAAATGCTATATGCAAGATTTAAAAGCCAGGAACCCTATTTTCAAAATAATGATGGGGAATGGGGGAACTACGTGTCATTTTTTAATTTGGTGAAAATCTGATTAGCTCGGGAAATAGAGATTACTAACATAGGTGATAGAATGAAAAATTGCAAAAGATCCAAGAGGAACTAGACAGGTTTGATCATCTAAAATAGTTCAGGGTTTTTAACTACAATTCAGGATCGATTAAATTTGGTGCTGAATATATTCATAGAATCTGGTTAGCAATTGAATGGGTGGACTCAATGCACCAATGGTCTCCTTCTGCCTGAAGTTGTTGCTGTGTCAAATAACAACACAACAACTTGCATTTATATAGCGCCCTTCACACAGGGTAGTGTCCCAGAGTGCTTTTGCAAATACCCTGCCAACCGTCATCAAGGCTCTCAATGTGAATGTTTACCATTGAAGGACTGGAGGGTGCTTTTGTTTTTACCAATAACTCCTGGTAGAAGGAAAAATAAGTCCATTGCCTTCAGGAAAGATGCAAGGGGAGAAAAATGGTGAAGAGAAATAAAGAGTGGAAATTCAGCATTTAGGGAAGGAAATTGAATTACCCTACACCGTTGGGACTAGAAAAGGAAATTGATGAGAGAATTATTTAAACAAATGCTGATGCGTCATGGAAAGGAGAGGGGAATTCTGGAGGAACGGTATGATGTATTTGACACAAGCTGTTAAACAGGATGCAAAGGAGATTTATGTACAGTTAGTGATGGTGGATTGAATGTGAAGGACCTCAGTAGCAATGATCAGAATGCCATTGGTATTGGTGTGTGGATAGAAGGAGCAGGTGATGAAATGCAAATACTGCATTTCAGAAAAGGTGATTTTAAAGCCACGAGGGTCAAAATAAGGAGACAACAATAGATATCTGATTTCTGTATAATATCAACATTGATTTTTACTTTCAGAGTATAGTACTTGAATTTAGAGTTCATTTCCCTTGTGCATGCATTGGTTGGAAACCATCGCTACTGTTTTTTGAGGCTGTTGTGTTGTAGCAAGAATGATGTCCCTGGTGCCCACCTCCCACCAGTCAAAAATCTTTATTTTTCACTTTTCCATGTCACTTTAAATTCTTACAGTAGAGTTGATAGAATTTCTTGAAGTTAGAAAGACAAGTCATACATCCGAGTTCATGCAGAAATTTGGGATTATTAATTAAATGATCTTGAGTAGGCTGACAGGATTTTTTTTGTTGAGAACCTGGGTTAAGGTTCACGATCCATAATGCAATGCACTAAAGTTGAAAAGAATAGTCAAGAAATCAGATTGGAAAAAAGTAGTTAGAGCCTTGGTTTTTAAAGGCTTGAAGATTTTAGGAGGAAGGTCAGGAGTTCTGCCCTTTTGAGCTCCTGATAAAGAACGATTTGGGAGGCAGTATTACTGAGTTTTACTCATAGTGCAGGGAAGAGCAAGAAAGTGGTTTCAGAAAATGAATTTAGAGAGGGGAGGCAGAAGTAAAAACCTAAATGGGATAAAGGGTGGGTAAATGTAAAACTTTTTCTTTGGTAGTTTGTACCAAACTAGGTGGCTATGACTGAGTGAGTCTCTGTGGAGTTGTTCTGGTTATCTATGTTCAGTGCTTATAAACGATCTTCATGAAGATAGCAGAAATTAAGTGCAAATTTGCAGGTGACAAGCTGTGTGGGAATGCAAACCACATTTCCCGAGACTGGGGATATGTTAAGCAACTGGGAATATGAATTGTAAATTAGTTTTCATAAAAAGTGCAACATAATGTGCTGAAAACATTGTAAACAACTTTTCACTGGCAACAGGATAATCCACAGCATGAACTCAAGAAAAACATCATTACACCTAAAATTGTTAGCATATGAAAGTTGGCCACATAGTGCAGTAAATACTGATTCAGTATTTACTGCACTATATAATAATAATAATCCTTACATTCGATGTAGCACCTTATCAAGTCTTCGATATGTCTCAAAGCGCTTCACAGAATATACAATAACGCAAATTGACTGTATATTCTGTGGAAGAAATGCAGCAGCCAATTGCACACAGCAGTGTCCCACAAACAGTCGTGGGTTGAAGTGAACAATTTATTATTTTTTTTGAAGGAATTATTACGCCTGGAAAAGCGATCCACTAATTGACTAACAACCGGGTTCCTACTTACTGCTAGCTAAACAGAGGCGTGTGAAGTAATAATAATAATTATCCTTGCATTTGATATAGCGCTTTTCAAATCTTCTAGATGTCTCAAAGTGCTTCACAGAATAGATTTAAAGTGAATTGACTGTATATTTGTGGGCACAGTGCGGCAGCCAATTGCGCACAGCAGTGTCACACAAACAGTCGTGGATTGAAGTGACCAATTTATTATTGTGTTTTTTTGAGGTGTGGAGTAAGGAAACTTGCCCAAGGTTTTGCCCTGCTGGGAATCGAACCCAGGTCTCTCGCTTGCAAAGCGAGTGCTCTAACCACTGAGCTACAGGACTCCACTATGTGGGTGGGGAGAATAGGTAAAGATGAAACGAGTACTTGAATGAATCTGTTCTATGTTCATATGATGATGAAGTACATTGATTCCTGATTTTTATTTTTTACATTTTGGCTGTAAACACCAAGTCAGTTTAACCTATTCTCATTGACAACTGCAATGGACTGGGCCTTCCCACAAACAATCTGTCTTGAGGCCGTGGTTTGACTACCAGCATCCAATGATGTTCACATCCAATCTCTCTGCAGTTGCCAAACAGCTGTTCTCAGCCAGATAGACAGGTTCTGCTTGGTCCAGTGCCAAATAGGGAGGGGATCTTCCTGTATAGCTGGAGAACCTTTCAATACCCTAACGGGAGCTGTGTTAATAATGCTGCAAAATCAGACCAATTCCAAGGTTAAGGAGGATAGTTTGAGTAAATGCAGTTTTGCTCTTTGTGGTTGGAAAAAGCTTGTAGATTAAAAAACATGCCACAGATTATGGACCAGGAGCTTGCCAATTAAAATGCTGAGTTTGCTGATCTCATCATGGGCTGTGTGGGGAAACTAAATTGGCCTTGGCCATCCCAGAGTAAGGGAGGGGAAAACCAGCCAGGTCCTCTACTGGGTGTGTGTATGTGTGCGTGGAGCTGCATCCCAGGAAGAGGAGGCCAGACCAGGACAATAATAAATTGGTCACTTCAATCCACGACTGTTTGTGACAGATGGTGGGGAGAAAATTGGGGACAATACAATACAGTTACATAATTTTTGTAAGGAAAAATTGCCTAAGAAAAAAATGTTTTTTAAAAAAAACATTTCAGCAGTACTCACACTCTGTGGTGGGTGGCTATGGCTGTGACCAACCTGTGCCTATGATTCTTCAGTATTCAGTAAGCATGGAGAGAGTGCGCTTTGCATTCCAAATGCAGGAACATTTTGCAGAGAAGTTTATAGGAGCCAGATGTATGTGGAACTCTATCTGGTTTGAATTCTCGTATATGGTGATGGGTTTCAGCATGCGTTTTTGCAAATGGGAGGTACCGAACGCCAAGATTTTACAATAAGTCTAAGTGCAGAGAATCATTGGATCTCATATTGTGCCACGGGAAACTATTTGCAATTTTATTACTTAAATCAGACATGATTCTTGTTCACCTTTTTTCATCTTTTCACTCCAGTGGCAACAGATTTAACCTTCTAGCATAATCTTCCAGTTCAAGTACCGATTTGGTCTTGTATTCAAATAAATATGGAACTGTACACTGTGTTGAGCCTGGGGCATTTAGAATTTGGTCAATAAGTACATGTCCAGCCAATAACATATTTGTTATGAGCGTATGTTCAATTTAGAGGCCGAAAGGTGATACTAGCAGGGGCAGCCGTGCTGCATCTATTCCACCTATGGTGTGTTGCGTAGTATATTTACCAAGGTTATTATGTTAGGATTGGTCTTTGGGAGGATTCCTGGAAGTGGCTCTAAAGCAAGCAAGTTCTTTTTAAAAAAGATTTGTTGAACTGAGTTATATTAGTCCTGCCAGCGGCAATTAGGAATTATTTTTAATTCCCATATGAGCCTCATGGAT